AAAAAAAAAAAAAACATCCACAGAGAAGAGAGAGCACACACGTCTTGGTTTTCTGGGCTTAGCCTGTCCATCACAATATAATTCTCCTAAGTCTATCCATTTAACTATGTATTTCATTTTTCTTTACTACTGACTAAAATTAGTATGTGTGTGTGTTTCAATATATATATATTGTTGTTGTTGATGACACTGGGGCTGATTCCATCTCTGCTAAGTGTGTAAAGAAAACCTGAGAACGTGAACGTGGAACAAATTTCTCTTTACTGTAATATAGAGTCGTTTGGGTGATGCTTAGATGTGGTATAGAAGCGTCTTCAACTCTGCGAGTTCTATTTCTGGCTTCTTGAGAAGTTGCCACACTAACTTCCAAAATGGTTATAGTACTGTACACTCCCACCACCAGCAACATGTACAGATTCCTCTTTCTGAAGTCCACTCAAGAATTCATTGACGGGGTAAGATGATCAAGCCTCATTTAGAAAGACAAATGGGGTGTGCATTGAACGTATGACAGGAGTCTACCGCAGAAAGCATCTGAAAGACTCTACCTAGCAGTGTTTCAAAGCAGGTACTAAGACTCATAACCAAACCTTCGGCAGAGTACAGGGCATCATAAGAAAGAAGGGGAGTTAGTCTGATGGGAAAAGGATAGGAGCTCCACAAGGACCAAATATATCTGGGCACAGGGTCTTTTCTGAGACTGACACTCAACCAAGGACCATCTATGGATATAACCTAGAACCTCTGTTCAGATGTAGCCCGTGGTAGCTTAGTAACCAATTGGTTTCCCATAGTAAGGGGAACAAGGACTATTTATAACAGGAACTCAATGGCTGGCTCGTTGACCTCCCCACCCCCCAAGGGAGGAGCAGTCCTGTTAGGCCACAGAGGAGGGCTTTGCAGCCAGTCCTGAAGATACCTGATAAAACAGGGTCAGATGAATGGGGAGGAGGTTCTCCCCTATCAGTGGACTTGGAAAGGGGCACGGTGGAGATAAGGGAGGGAGGGTGGGATTGGGAGGGAATGAGGGAGCAGGATACAGATGGTATATAGAGTTAACAAAATGCAACTAATAAGAAAAAAATAAAATTAATTAAAAAAAAGAATTCATTGACATTTGTGTTCCCGATGATCTCCATCCTTACTAGACTGAAGTGATGTCTTAAAATAGTTTTAATCTTCATAGCCCTGAAGTCCATAAAGGTCCAATAATGGACATTCCTATATTGGTGGTAAACAACTTGTATGTAATTGAACTAGTGGCCCACTTTACAGGAAGGAAATAATTTCTGGTACCTTAAATGCAGCCAATTATCTTCATTTACTAAACCATCATAATTCTTGTCTGCATTCTCAACACTTATATCCACAGATGATGGTAGTTATAACTCCTAATCAAATGATTATCTCTAAGGATCAGGCAGAGACCATTACAGAAAGCTACCCCTGTCCAAAATACAAAGAACATATAATGATGAGGAGCCCAGCTCAGTTGGTAGATCTACAACACAAGTTCTACACCTAAGGCTCAAGAAACACCATGGAAACAGGGACAAAAATATTGTAAGAGCCAGAGCACAGGAAATCTGATGTAAGATTCTGTCTCCTAGAAACAACAGGGAAACTTAATCAATGGTACCTAAATAATATTGCTGCCAAAAAAAAAAAAGAAGTGAATAACTATACCACCAATAAACATGATTCAGATGCTTTAGGCCTTCTACATCGACACATTTTTTTTCTCTTTCTCCCACATCTTTTTTCTCACTCGTTTAAAGCTTTTCTTCTAACAGGATTCTGGGTAGCAACCCCATTGCACAAATGAGTTCATATTGGTGATCCACGGTCTCAGTGGTATCATTTGGTCAGTACTCCTCTGTGGGCCAATTAACACAATAGCAGCACTCACGTAGATGTCTGCACATGACATAATGCTACTTCTAACCAGCACAAAGGTAGACTATGCTTTGGAAATAAATCTTTAATAGCATTAGTGACATAGATAGAAATAGGCTAGGGAAGTACAATATCTACCATCCCAAACAAACAGAAGTGAATAGATTTCTTTCCAGGTGATATGCTGACTTCTACAGAAATGAATTAAGTATTACCTTGCACCATAGAAAATCCCTGAACTAAGGTTAATGGGCAAATATTAAACTAAGAGGAAGAAGAAAGACAAAACGTCAGAACGTTAAATTACTTGTTCTGCTCTACATTTGAGATCCAAATGCAAGGAGCTAGAAAGCAGCATTACAAGTGTGGGTAAGAACTGACTCTGCATCAGAGAGTGGTAAGAATTGTCTGTTCTTTGAAACACTAATGGACCTCATGTGGAAATAGATAATGATGGCTGGGGGGAGGGGGGAACAAGAATGGAAGTGTTATATGGGTTGGTATCCTCCATGTTTATTTTAAGAGCCACAGTGAATTATAGATGCATTCGAAGTAAACTAAGAAACCTAGATGCTTATGACTATAGCCTGCCTTCTCCCTCAAGCCTGCCTTCTCCCTCATTTAGATCTGCTGAGCACTGTTAGTCACTACAGGCAGCCAGACAGTCACTAAGGGGTAGCACACAACTGAAGAGTCATTACAAAAAAAGTCCAAAGTCTCCTGTATGCATTGGAGAAGAAGCCAACCCTATCAGACTATCAACAATCCTACCATTGACTGTTCTGAAATGTTACTTTACTCTCATGGTCCTAATTTCTCTGACAAGGAAAGGGGTAATAACTTGAACTCCTGTGCTAGTTTCAAGTATCAGACAAGATAGTGTATGGGGGGGGGTAGGAACCACATAGTTGTTACTGGTCTTGTTTAGGGTTGGGTTATTGCTATCATGGACTGCTGCAGAGATTCTTTGCCTGTGTCAGGAAAACTTGAAGCTCAGATATGAGTTGTGTATTGAAAAAAAATTTAAAAAACAAGATTTATCTCTTAATCTGCAGCACAGGTTCTAATTTCCTTCAGGACTCAACTCTCGTCAGTCTGACTCACAGGTGTCTTTTCTACTTCAAAAAAGTTACATGAGCACTTTACGTGCTTGGAGATCTTACAAGGTACATTTTTACAATTGCTTACATTGTGTGTGCTAAAATAGAAGAGTTAAGGGTACTGAATGTACTAGTACTTCGATAAATGTCGGGTGCATTGGGTTTGGCAGACATCTAGTAAGTTTTTGTTCGTTGATCACAAATGACTGTGATAAATGACACACTGACTTTTTACTGGCATTCTAACTGCATAACAAAAGGAATGATTCATAAATTAATTCTATAAAATATGCAGTATAAACAAGGGACAAGATAGTGGATATAGCAGTAGACCTAAGAGAAGTGGACACCATCATTATGAACAGTTTCATTGCATGACAGACTAGTACTATATTCTGAAATAACCAATATGTTAGACTTGGATTTATCATCTGCCTTAACTCAGCCTTTTTAGTTCTACAGACAATGAAATGAGAGGCAGGTGGAGAGTGAACAGAGGAAGGATTGGAAGAAAAATCTTCCTTGAGTTCCTAAAGACTTGGGCCTGGGTCCTGATTATGTTTCTCTGACTCCAAATGCAGTGTTCTTTCCACTATGTGACAAAGTATGAAAAGAAAAAAACAGAGTGGAGATGATCTTCAAATGTCAATCATGTAGAAACTTTAAATAAACTTTACAATAAAATCAAATTTAATATATTTTATTCACATAATCTGTGCTTTTTTTTTCTGCATCCTAGGTATAAATTCTGACTTTGGTCTTACTCTGATGGTTCTACAACCTAGGCTTGTAACCCTGGACTGCTATAAAGTCAAATGCTGTTAGGGTTTCTGCATCATCTTCTTCATTTCTATGAAAAAAGAGAATATAGTTTTATATGAGGTTAATTATGAGATATAATAATGAAAGTAATAGTACTATACCACTTTGCTAATTAGAGCAATCAAGGACATAAGATAAATTAAGATCAACAGGAAGTTCATGGTATTTGGGAAACACCATGGACAGGAGCAATAACCTGGGAAAGAGAATGCAGGGGTTTCTTCTCACTTCCTTTATTCCATGTGTGTTATTTCCAGTGAGTTTTGAATTGTCCTGAAGCCCTTCTTCAGGCCAGTCCTTGGTTCTTTTCTAATACTTGTCAAAAAAGATTTCCCAGTCTTTAATTGGATACTGTTAGGGACTAGAGGAAGTTAGATGTGGTGACTCAGTGCATGGAGTGACTGGCAATTTTCTGCGAATATGGGTAGAAGTTTTGCTGAGTTGTATTGGCTCTATGTGGGAATGTGTTTTGTTTACAGTTTGAAAATGATAGAGTTAATAACTCCAAACAAAGCTTGATTTTTCTCTTCTCTACCTTTTTCAGGTTTTATTGGACACAGCCCTGCTCTCCACAGCTATGGATGGAGCCAATAGCTCTGTTGTGTCTGAGTTTGTGTTCCTGGGACTCTCTAATATATGGGGAGTCCAGTTGCTTCTATTCCTCTTTTCCTCTGTGTTCTACACGGCAAGTCTGATGGGGAACCTCCTTATTGTGTTCTCTGTGACTGCGGACTCCAAACTGCATTCCCCCATGTACTTCCTGCTGGCAAATCTCTCATTTCTTGACCTGGGAGTTTGCTCTGTAGCAGCCCCCAAGATGATTTATGACCTTTTTAGAAAACACAAAGCCATCTCATTCGGGGGTTGTATAACCCAGATCTTCTTTATTCATGCTATTGGGGGCACAGAAATGGTGCTGCTCACAGCCATGGCCTTTGATAGATATGTAGCCATATGTAAACCTCTCCACTACTTGACTATCATGAGGCCACAAATATGCATTTTAATTTTGGCAGTAGCCTGGATCCTTGGAGTTATACACTCAGTGGCACAACTAGCTTTTGTTGTAGACTTGCCTTTCTGTGGACCTAATATTTTGGACAGCTTTTACTGTGATCTCCCTCAGCTTATTAGACTGGCTTGCACAGAAACCGATAAATTGGAGTTCATGGTCACAGCCAACAGTGGACTCATCTCTGTTATCTCCTTCTTCGTACTGATCATCTCTTACATCTTCATTTTGGTGACTGTTAGGAGACACTCTGCGGGAGGCATATCCAAAGCCCTATCTACTTTGTCGGCTCATGTGACTGTGGTGGTTTTGTTCTTTGGACCATTAATCTTCTTCTACACCTGGCCCTTTCCCTCATCACACTTAGACAAATTTCTTGCTATTTTTGATGCCATCCTCACTCCTTTTCTGAATCCAGTCATCTACACATTCAGGAACAAAGAGATGAAAGCAGCAATGAGGAAACTCTGGTACCAACTTTTGAGTTACAGGAAGGTATCCTGAGTACTTTTTATAACATTTGATTTTTAAAGACATGAAAGTTTTATTATGTCAAGATATAATAAGCAAATAAAGAATTGAGAAAATTATCAATAAGAGTAAGTTTATAGCTCATACTTTATTTTTAGATTTTTACATGGATGGTTGGTTTTCTGAGCCATCTTCAAAAGCAATAAAAACGCAACTACACTTGCTTACACAGAGACCAATAAATTGGAGATCATGATCACAGACAACAGAGGACTCATCTCTGTGGGTTCCTTCTTTACAGTCATTTCTTACATCTTCAGTTTGGTGACTGTTAGGAAATGCTGTTCAGGAGGCATATCCAAGGCCCTCTCTACTTTGTCGGCTCATGCAACTTCAGTGATAGTAAGAAAAATAAAGGCAGTGATATTTCAGCTCTCTACTAAATAGTTTCTATACTGGATTACATTTAAGAATTTACCAAGTTATTGTCCCCAGAACCTAGCTCGGCATGGATACAGTGAGTTAGAATTGGAGGCTTTGCTTCAGACCCTATACTGAATGCTTCATCTAAAGAATTTAATAGTCATGATAATTCTGTGCAGTATTTTACCTTGATGATTTTATTTTTCAAAGTAAATGACAGAACGTTTTCCACTTTTCCTTTATAATTACTATGTAAAATACCCCAAACAAAGTTAATTTTCTCCTTCTTTACCAGGTATAGTGTTCTTAAGCCTTCAGGGGGGGCCCAAATAGAGAATATGTCCAACAATTTACTCCTTTTTGCTGTTATATTTTCCTGTTTTAACAAGTGTTCGATAAACATTTTTGGTGATGGTAATAATGATGCATATGGGAGACAATGGTTGTAGTTGGAGCTGAATTAAAACAATGAATAGGCCCTAAGCATCCTGTGAGAATGCTAAAATGGTAGAGGAAACAGGTTCAACCAGGCCAGTAGGCCTGAAGACTGATGATAATCTGACATTAATTTTGTTTGAAATTATTAAACCACCCCACTCACTACCCAAGTCCTCCTCCAGAGTCTAGCTTGGCAAGCACATTTGAGCACAGCTTTTCCATAACCTTCCACATCTGGCCAGCGTCCCACAACTACTCACCAGGCCTACTCTGGCCACCTATGCCTGCACCATAGCTGACTTTTGGGCTTCTACCAGGACCTTCCCTACCTACAACCACCCACATGCTTCTTTTTGACAACCTCCAACAACTAATATACATTTATCATATTCCATTGATTCAATTCTAGCATAAACCAAGTAGGTAATATTTTCTTTTTTAATGTATAAATAATATATTCAATATTTATTATTGTAAAAAAATTATTTATTTGCTTTACATTCAGATTGTAACCCCCTCCTCTCACTCCTCCTTGTCTCACCCTCCCTCCCTTTTTTCCTTATCCCCCTCCCCTATTCCTCAGAAAAGGAGAGACCCCCCCAACTCCACGCCAACAAATCAAGTCAAATCAGGACTTAACACATCCTCTTCCACTGTGGCCTGGTGAGGCAGCCCCGCCAGGAGGAATATTTTCATTCTTGTGTTATAGATTAGAAAGCTAAGACACACAACAAAGCTCACTAATTAGACCAAAGACACCAGCTGGCAAGTATTAGATCTATGCTATCATGCCAAACAGCCCTGCTTTGAATCAAAATCCTCATCTACCTCTAGAAAAGGGAAGCCCTTCACCTGTACTTATAAATTCTAAACACATTTTATAACTTCACAGAGCACTATAAAATAGTAAGCAAACATCAACTCAATGAAATGTGCTATTTGAGATTTATATTCTGTAATTTTAATATTTCATGAAATAGCCCAGTCTTTTCTATTAAAAGGGAATAAGACTGGGTGGTAAATTTTATACTAAATTAATTCTATATTCTTCTACAGTCCAAACACAATTGTGCATAACTGAAGGACAGTGAACCATCTATTGCTAACTTATTCGATGAGAGAGTTGTGACATTCGAGAAACATATTGAAGCCTAAAGGGACATTTTATGGAGTTTTTTCGTTATCACGGAACCTGAGTTTGTATTGTATGATGCAGAAGATTAGCCAGTTTTAACTAGGTTTGATTAACGGGGGGGGGGGGGGGGGGGG